TTATTAAAATATATCTGTACTTAGGCCACACCAATTTAATTTGTTGGTTCTCGGATTCTCCTCTTCATTTTTTTCTGATTTGCAAAAAAAGAAAAAAAAAAGATTATGGTTCTGAATCAACTAAAAATGCTCATATTTTGCTCCCAACAGTTGAGGATATTCCTTTTCGTCCTAGTTGTTACAGTTTTTCACTCTTTTAATGTTTTGGTTAAAAGTTCAAAATTCGTTGTTTAAATATGAACCAGCCTTTTGTGTTGACTTCATGGTTCCAATCGTAGCATTTGGGGCTATAATAGGATGCCAAGGCCTGTTTTTAAAAGTCTTTTTCGCTCTGTCGCTTCATAGTTTTTCTAAAAAAAATCCGAGAACCAACAAATTGCATTAGTGTGGCCTTATATTCTGCACCATCCATAACACGGTTTGCTTCAGGGATTTAAAGGTTGAAATCGATCTGTATAGGACGAAAGGTTGGACCAACACGAAAATGATTTGATCCGACAATTTATGTGATCCCTCAGAGCAACCCATAATATTCCCTTAGACAGAAACCACGTTTGCCGGCTTCAATGCACATTACTGTATATTGAATGAATGAAGACCTTATTGCATATTTTTTAGATCATGTTCGGAGCATTTTCCTCCGGAAAAATTAATTTGTAGGTCACCAAAAACGATATTTCCCGTACTTTGAGAGGCAAATTTTGAACGTCTGAAGTTATCTTGGATATGGAGAAAAATATTTTACCTTGACCCTCCCCCCAGGCCCAAACATTATTCCTAGACCCTCCCCCTAAGCCAAAAACTTTTTCCTTGACCCTCCCCCCCCAGACGACCGGCCCTCCCCCCGCTAAATATATAAATATCTTCTTCTTCCGGTAATGTCCAACTGCCGATACCGGCAATAATTGACATGTCTCGGGTCGAAGGTCACCAGCGTGACTGAGTCTAGGCCGGACTGGACACCCTCGAGACAAAGGTGGCCAGGGACGGGGATTGGACAGTGTCTGTGGGCAGGGCGTTCCAATCGCGGATAGTGCGAGGAAGAAAGGAATAGTGTTTGTAGTTCGTGCGGCAAGTTATGTCCTGGAGCTGTTGACTGTGGCCTCTCCGACTTCTCCTGCTGCCAGACACGGGCTTCAAGGCGTCGCATCTCACACATGCAAGGTCATGCTGGATCTTGTACATCATGGCGAGTCTGGTGGTACGGCGGCGGCCTTGGAGAGAAGCCCACTGTAACTCGTCCAACATGTCAGAGACACTAGAGGTGTTTCGGTGTCTGTTCAGAACAAAGCGTGCTGCCCTTCGTTGGATTTTCTCGATCTTATTTGTGTCAGCGTCGGTGTAGGGGTCCCATACACAACAGGCATACTCCACAATTGGGCGGACCAAGGCTTTATATGCAAGCTCTTTGGTTTTGATGGAGCACACTCTAAGATTTCGCCTTAAGAAGCCCAATGTCCTGTTGGCCTTGGAGTATGTATTGTCGATGTGCATGCGCCAGGAAAGGTCTGTCTGAAGCGTAACACCCAGGTACTTGGTAGAGGATACTCGTGCTAGTGTGTGACCATGGAGGGTGTAGCTGGGATTTGCGATCGGTGGTTTTCTAGCTCTCGTCAGGGGTAGCTGATAACACTTGTCTGGGTGGAAGGACATGTCCCACTCCCTCTCCCAGTCCTCCAGCTTGTTGAGATCCTCTTGAAGCTTTGGGGGGTCTTTGGGAGAGGAGATCAGCCGGTACACAGCGGTGTCGTCCGCGAATAGTCGGGAAGGGGACGAGATCCTCTGCGGTAGATCGTTAATGTACACGATGAAGAGGCTTGGACCTATCACCGTGCCCTGTGGGACGCCCGATCGCACACTCACGTAGCTTGACTGGGTGCCGCTGACTACCACAGCCTGCCGGCGGTCGCTAAGGAAGCTTTCTATCCACCTGTTTGTGTTGCCGCGAATCCCGTAGTAATCCAACTTGTGCACAAGTAGACTACGGTTTTACGCGGTCGAACGCTTTCGCGAAATCCATAATGATTACGTCAGTCGTAACACCGTTCTCCATTGCTGAAAACACCTCTTCTGTGAATTCAAGGAGTTGGGTCTCGCAGGAACGGTGTTTGCGAAAGCCATGTTGCTGTGTAGATAGGATGTTGTTTGATTCCAAGTGGTGCATGATGGAACTAACTAGGACATGTTCAAGGATTTTAGCGGGAACGCTGGTGAGGGAGATGGGGCGGTAGTTTGATGCCTTGTAGTGTTCTCCCTTTTTAAACACTGGTGCCACTAACGCCTCCTTCCAGTCTTGAGGTACTTGACCTGTGCGCAGTGATGACTGGTAAATGGTGGTAAGAATGGGAGACAGTTCTTTAGCCAGTTCCTTCAGCACGCGTGGAGTAATGCCGTCTGGGCCGGCTGCTTTGGCGGGGTTTAACTTTGCCAAGAGTTTCTCAATGCCAGCTGTGCTAATCTGTATGTCATCCATGGGGGGAAAGTTGTCACGGGAGCCAGGTAGTGAGCACCGGTCTTTGAACTCTGATGCTGTGTATGTGGCGCCCTCGCTGAATGCAGTGTAGAACTGTTTGTTCAGGAGTTCAGCCTTCTGTTTGGGATCAGTGACAAGCTTTCCGTTAGACTTCAGGGCGGGGATGCCAGTGGTAGTGGAACGCTGATGTTTCACGTAAGTCCAGAATCTCTTTTGGCATGTCCTGGTGTCTTCTCCTGAACTCATGGGGGAGAATAGGTTTTCAGTATATCTCCAGTAGCAGCGTCGCATCTGCTTTCTGATCTCTCTGTTCAGTTTCTTGACTTCNCGTACAGTCCCTTACCACACTTGGCTAAGTACAGGTCACAACAAAACAAGATGAATGGATACAGTTAACAGATACAAAATTAACTAAGTATCGTTATATGAATTCAACTTCTCGTTCTTCAGTTATTGTAGAAATAAAGGAACAGATATGTTTTTTTCGATGGGTGGTTTGTCTCGTTGCATTAGGAATATAAATTTTTCTACCGTACTCAAGTGTATGAAATAGGGGAATAGGTTCTGTATAAACCTATACAGTTCTCTCTTTGCTATACGAAATGGCGTTCGTCCTCTATCTGTTCAAGTTACAATATTTATATTGTAAGCCTTTGTCTGTTTATTGTTTATTGCCAGTTTGCACATAAAAATAAAAACAGTATGTTATGAATATGTACAACCAAATGTACGGGAGAACCCAAGAAACCTAAGGGTTTATCGAGTGGGTTCTCCTAAAATCCAATTGTTTTTATGACCTCTTTTTACACACGTGTATTGTGAATAAGTGACAACGAAACAAACAAATTAAATCAAAATAGATACAAAATAATCTAGATTTAACACAACGAACTAACTAACTAATTGACTAAACAATAAAGTAAGACTATCAAAAACATGTCCAACTGAACAAAAAAAAATTCCATCAGTCAAATCATAAGTTATTAGGCATAAGAGCAAAGGATAAACATAAGAAAGCTTGGTGTGTAATAATCTCCAGATAGATCTTTTTGGTGGCTGCAGGACAGTATCATATTGGCAAGACTAGAAAACTGGCGAGACAGAATGAAATTGGCAAGGAAGGTAGTATCAATTTGGCAGGGCGGTATCTATTTGCCATCCGGCTTTGCTGGGAAAAAGAAGCCAAAAACCTCTGCTTGAAGAGTAGTGTGCGTCCGGCTGGCATCTGATAACATGTGACGTTATCTATATATGTAACATGTGTTAGTATAAGATAAGATACAGTAACAGCGTGCGCATCTGCTGGTACAACGATCTTCACAAGTCACTTGTTAAATGTGACCAAGAAGCTCCTTGATGTGACTTATGCGTTTGTGATAATAGCAAACAAACAGTTTCTCTTTTTCTATGGAAGATAGTATCATACTGTATAACAAAAAAAAATGCGGGAAATATAAATTTCTCTGAATCGTATTTAGCAGCCAAAAAACTGCAACCGTATTGGATATATAGGTATATTTGATAATACAAAATTAATTTTAAAAAAAGTTTATTGCAAATACATGCCCGAGGGGTAATTGCAGTTACAAACAACATGAGAAAGAAAATACAGTGGTATGTGAGACTATATCTACGTCTAGCATTATACTATATTCTACAACATGCATGGTACTAGATTTACTGGGTTTGACTTCTTCTTTTTAGGCAGTGGAAGACGAATTTACCCACTTCTTCTATAATATGTGGGTTCTTTGATTTTAGTAGTAAATTTTTTTTTGTGGTAGGGAACGGTGGGGAAGTAAGGGAGCATTTTGGACACGGTGCTAAATATCAAATTTAGGCCAATGTGGTAAGTTTACTTTTTGAATTTCTAAACGACCTCCAGGACGGCCCCCTCACCTCTAAACGTTGACTGAACAATTACCATTCCACCGTAGTGCCGTGTTGGGAAGAAAAACAACCCAATACAGTCCTTTCACGAGTGCTGCGTTCAAACCAATCTCTAAGTGAATAATGGCATCCATGTAAATGATATAACACCGTACGTAAACAAACGGATGGATCGTGGGCATGAATCCTAATGCACACTTCCTGTAATCGTGAACTTACGCTATTTTCTCGGAAGTGACTTTGCCGTCTAGTCATGTTTTAGGCCACACCGCCTTAATTTTATGGATACGAGTAACATCCGCGCGTGCACTGATTTTCGCTTGTTCTCAAAAAAAATTCACGTCCTACGAGGCGCTGGCCTGGCTCTTGGCCTGGCTCTAGGCCTGGCTCTAGGCCTGGCTCTAGGCCTGGCTCTAGACCTGGCTCTAGGCCTGGCTCTAGACCTGGCTCTAGGCCTGGGTATTCCATGGTAGTTGGCGACAATACGGAGCCGATGGTAACTCTGGAGGACGGCACCCAGGCTACCGAAGCTCCACGACTCAAGAACTCAGTACACACGTACAGTGTCGATTCATAAATTCCACAAAAAGTCAGCATGTGCCGGCTTGTCGTATACGTCGCTATGTACTGCCGCAAAGTCACAATACCAGCTTTGTATTCCTGTGCTTTAGTAAAATTTTTATTTTTGGCCGGATTTTTTTTATTCGCCCGCGCGCACTAGTTTGGGGGTCTTCGGAGGATGTCTTCCATAAAATTAAGACGGTGTGGCCTTATGCTATTTTCTAGGAGGTGATTTTACCGTGTATCGATGTTTTATGTAAACAGTTACCTCAGATTTCTCTCGCGACATGACGTCGACCATGAAAGGACGAAACTGAGGTATAAACTATCCTCCAAACACAGCTGAATCGATGCCAGTTTGGTGAAATTGCATGCCCACACGGTCTCAGATCAATCTCTACCTACTCCAAACGATTTTTGACTGTCTTGCACACCCCAAGAGGAAAGCCAATACCGTATCTACAATTTTGCCATTTCCTTTTACGATAGGGCCTACGGCAACGCGCACATAAAGTATTCATCGTGTACCGACGTTTCGTTAATTCTGCTACTACCTTCCTCGGGGCAGACGTCTAGTTCTCGTTACAGGCATCCAATGTGATTTCAGGTCAGCAAAACTGGAAATATTCGAATAAAGCAATCTTTGTGATATTGACACATACTGCTTCACATTAGCACATTTAAATCAGCATTTCATACTTTGCGCATTTAAAACTGCAGAAACAAGCCCCAAGATGACTCCTTTATTTTCTGGGTGGTACCCTAAAAATCAGCCTAGGGCCCTTGCAGTAACCATTTTCCGTCAGAATTTTGGGTGTTTTTGCTCCGTGAGGGTCAATATACATTGGGATAGTGTGGTTTCAACTCAGAATGTAGATAAGTGACTAGAATATTGACTTTGAAAAATCTGGTTTCCTAGCCCTAATAAAAACTGCACTGGATGCCTTTAAGCTACAAAATTACCAAGAATTTCTAGCTAAATGATGCCACAGTGAACACACGTATTGTATCGTGCACCACTTGAATTACCAAGAATTTCGAGCTAAATGATGCCACAGCGAACACACGTATTGTATCGTGCACCACTTGGTAACACACAACCCCACAAGTAATTTCTAGGCGTCAGAGACAATGGTCCGTAAAGCCTCGGTCACAACTCGCCGTACGTGCTTCTGCGTGCTGTCTACGTGCAAAAACGTGGGCAATCGTAGGGCATCCCTGCGTGGTGAGTACCACCTCCGTACGGAATCCTACGGATTTGGGAGCACGCAGACACGCCGTAGAACTTTAAGTGCATGTAATACTTTTTCTACGTGCGGTCTGCGGATTTACCACCCGTGCGTGCAAGTACGTGCGACGCGCGTGCCCCGTACAGCCTATGAGCGTGCAACGTACGGACTCCGTGAGTCTAACTTCACTATTCTCACGTGCAATTGCTGTACGGACAGCGCACGAAGCACGTGCGTGCCACGCACGGTGCTTGCGTCATCCGTGCTTACTCCTCACTTCCCAGTTGACCTGCTCAATGACCACGCAGAACACACGTGCACCATACCAGGTGCTCCGCACGTGCAACGCACGTGCAACGCACCTGATCTCTACAGTATATAAAGACAACTTGACGGGCGACTGCCAACTCGTCTCCAAGATGCCCAGGAAGGCTAAGAAGAAAACTACCAGACAAGACCCAAAGAAACGGGCCGCGGAAGACACCAGGGCGGCTAGTGATGATGAAGTTAACAGGAGGTGCACGCACTTACAACGTGCGAGTGAGTAAGGAAACCGTGCGTACGCCGCACGTGTAGGTACGGCCTGTACGCGGCAACGTAGCAAGCGCACAGAGATCGTGCGTTGTAAGCACGTACAACTCACTTACCACTTGCGCAACGTACGATGCACGCAACCGCTGACGGCCAGGCGTGTCGTGCAGACCACGTACGTACACCTTGCGCAACCGTGCGAGTGACGTACTCCCTCGGCCGGCCACCCTACGTTTGCAGAAAAAACGTAGCAGACGTAGCCACGACAAAAACGTACGGACAAAAAGCACGCACGGCGAGTTGTGACCGTCGCTTAACAGAGCCCTGGGATTGTGTGGAGGCACCCAGACAATGATGCGTCAAAGACAGTTCAACCGTTCATAGCCAAGGGCCAAACCAATTACAGTGGTATCGGAAAAGTAATAAACATTTTACCACCCAATTTATCATAGATAGGTTCTATATAGCTCCTCTCCCATCTGTTGCCTATGATAAAATCTATCTAAAATTCATGAAATGTAGAAAATGTATTTATTCTGTTGGTTGTTGGGAATTCGGGAAAGCTATATATAAATTTATATTTCTAATCAGCTTAGACAAACCTTCTGTATTGAAACATATCGTTCTTACCTTTTTGCATTACTAAGAAACGAGAAGAAACTGAATTTACTTCATTGTAACTACTTGACGATGTATATATGTCACGTTATCTATATTCCATCCTTTTTTGTGACTTGTACTAACCCAGTGGGTATGTGTGTACAATAAAGGTCTTCCATTCATTCATTCATTGTATAATTCTGAAATTCCAACACAAATTCTCGATCTCTTTCACGTACGGATCTGCATGTTTCTCTTCGGTTCAGTTTGAAATGTTTCTATAAAAAACGATCGTAGACGCAGTCCACGTTGTGATAAAGCCAACGTAACAGCCCCACCGCTTCGAAGGCTGTAAAATATCAATTTTACAATAATATTGCAGTAAACATCAAACATTGGCCCTTGAGTGACATATATATTTGACGTTTATTTGCGGAACGTATATTACGTTTCCTAATCACACACTTAATTATGTCACGTGTCTAATATCAAACGATATCAAACGGATGGCACAGAATACAAATATTACATCGCACTGCACATTGTATTTGATCTGTATCTGTATCTGTATCGCCGGTATAACCGCCCTTCGGCGTAACACACCAGCTTCGCAGGCACGCGGCGCGGCGGCAGCTGGCTATATTACACCGATCGACTTGTTACACCTAACCCGTGAACTTCTAACTCTAGACATTGTTTAAAGCTATCTAATGAAAATGTCCCCACTGTGCTTGGTCGACAGTGAGTTCCACTCTGCATGCGATAGTTCTAGGAAATAATGAATTCTTGAACACCTCAATCCTTGGTTGATAACTCTGGTACTTGAAGGCATGGCTATTTCTTGTTCTCCTCTGGGCTGGTATTAGGCACTTAGTAGTTGGGACGTCCACCAGTTTACTAGTCATTTTGTACATCATGCAAAATAATGCAAATCTATCAGCAGCAATAGAGAAAATCCAGTTCTATATGATGTATATAACGGTACTAACGGAACCATATACTTTTTAAAGTGTATCCGACAACCTGCTTGTACGGGGGCGGAGAGTCTTATAGGGGAACACAGAGCACCACACAGGACGGTTTAACCTGCCAAGCGTGGGACAGCCAAACCCCTCACGAGCACAACTACAACTCTACGAGTTATCCAAACGGTGGTCTTCAGGGCAATTACTGTCGGAACCCGGATGGAGAACCCCGGCCGTGGTGTTACACAACGGACCCTGGCGTCCGCTGGCAGTACTGCAGCATACCTTCATGTTGTGAGTAGCATGGCATTCACCAGTTTCCCATCCCCAGAATGCAATGCGAAAACAGGGGGTCTATGCAAATATGCAAATGAGGTTTAGATCCCCTGTTTTCGCTAAGCATTCTGGGGATGGGAAACTGGTGAATGGCATGGCAATTTGTCGACTAAGGCTTAAGTCTATGGTGATAGAAGCTCATTGATGAAACACAACAAGAACAAACAATAATGAAAACTACCTGCAGGCCGATTTAAGCATATCTGTAAAAAAATCTTTGAAAAATTTGTAACAGAATTTTTAATACACAAGACAGAAAAACCTTTCTATTGATCAATATTACGTAAGCCATTTAAACATCTTTTTCTCTGTGTAAAGTTACAACTTTAGATCCAACACAAAAAAGTTCTCTCACCTAGAGCTTTCGACCAGTCACTCTGGCCTTCCTCAGTAGACTGACCCAGTGGGGCTTGTCACGTGGCTTGTCACGTGGTATATATTTTTTTTGCTCTACCAGATGGACAAGATGACTGTTATACCGGAAGTGGACATGAGTACAGAGGGACGGCTAACGTGGTGGCTTCCGGTCGAAAGTGTCAGCGGTGGGACAGCCAGTCCCCCCACCCCCACTCGTACACACCCAGCAGTCAGCCTAACGCCGGGCTACAGGAGGACTACTGTAGGAACCCTAGCCAGGGTACCCAGCCGTGGTGTTACACCCTGGACCCGGGGACGAGGTGGGAGTACTGCGGTTTGCCTCTCTGTGGTAAGTCTATCATACACAATTCCTATACGCAATGTGCATGTATTTTATTCCAATGAAAGATCTGTGCTTTTTAATCATATCAAAGAGAAGTTCCCATACTTCGAGCACCTAAATGGAAACGATAGATTTATATTTTTGATGCGCCTAGACAAACCCTGTATCACAAACATGATCTGTTCCCACATTTTCAATTCTAAGAAAAAGCGAGAAGAAGTTGACTACTCTGTATTAGCTCAGTAGCTAGAACACTTTGTATTAGCCTTGTGTGTTCTTTATGTATGTATGTCTTAGTCAAGTAGTGCATCTTTTGTCTCCACTTTTCTACATACGTTTGTTATGGGTCTGTTAAGTATTGACCTGTACCTAGCCCGTCGTGGCATGAATGTACAATAAAGGTATCTTATCTTCTTCTTTATTTTCCTGCTGCCTAAATTTATATTCGTTCATCGACTATATGATTCCTACATGAACAAGCGAGAAGTTGAACCTGTACATGGTAGTTAACATAAGTCTGTATAGCTGTAGTAAGGTATCGCTGTCATTATATTTTTGCTTCACCCCCTTGATCTGCACTTTGCTTGAAAGAGCAAAAACGTTCAATAAAGGTCTTTCATTCACATTCATTGCATTGTTAATGTCACCTATAATTGTTTTTCTCTGAAGGATCCGGTCCAACGCAAGCGCCGACCGCCCCACCAGACCAATATTTCTGTAAGTGTCCGTATTGCAAATTTCATCGAATTTTGTTAACGTACATTAATATTCATATTTTAACAACTGCATGTTACGGGTAATACATATGGATAAAATGTCATCGATTTATACCTTAACAAGTGAAATTGTTCATTGTTTATGTATTTATTTAACCAGGGAACATATCGCCCTGGAAGGCGGTTCACCCTGGGGGTGAAAATAGAAATAATAATAAAAACAATAAAAATAATCATAATACAACATAAATTAATCGCTGAACGAACTTATGTACAATCAAGGGGCAAATTAAAATAAGGTAACTTAATGGTAAGCACGAACTTTTAAAAGTAACAGAAGAATAAGCGGTCCGAAATAGGCATACATGAAATAATATCAAATCAATCAAAAATAAAATAAATAGAAGTAAAGGGATGAATATCTGAGGATGAAAGATATCCTCATGTCTACCTACCAACCGTATAAAGTTGTTGATCTACCATAATGATTGTCTATGGTTTGCATTTCCCCTATCATGTTACTCTACGGTTTTGTTACCAGCGCCTGTCCTTGGTGCTGAACGTAACATCACAACATGGTGACTCCCCAACTTATCGTCATATAATCGGAATCTCTTACTTACTCATTTTGAAATAGATATGTTGACAGCTCTGGCAATAGTCTTCTCCAAACGAAAAAAAAGGATTAAATTTTTTCTTCATATTTTGGCCAAATGACATAAAATTTGGCATTAAGGTAGAGTAGCCATATAACCCCAGATATTTCTTATGAAATACGTTTTTTTTATTTCTTTTGGAGAAGACTACTGCCAGAGCTGTCAACATCCATTTCAAAATGAGTAAGAGATACCGACGTTTTGACGATAATTTGGGGAGTCGCCACGTTGTGATGCTATGTTCAGCACCAAGGACAGGCACTGGTAACAAACCGTAGAGTAACATGGTAGGGGAAATGGAAACAATAGACAACTATTATAGTGGATCAACAACTTTATACGGTTGGTAGGTAGACATGAGGATATCTTTCATCCTCAGATATTCATCCCTTTACAAGTTATCATTTATTTGATTTTTGTATGATTGATATTATTTGATGTATGCCTTTTTCAGACCGCTTATTCTTCTGTTACTTGAGTTCGTGCTTACCATTAATTTACCTTATTCTTGGCATGAAGGTAGAGGGGCCATATAACCCTAGATATTTCTTATGTAATACGTTTTTTTCTTTTGGTGAAGACTATTGCTAGAACTGTCAACATCTAGTATATCATTTATACTTCTGTATTTAAAAATGAGTAAGAGATACCGACGTTATGACGATAAGTTGGGGAGTCATCATGTTGTGATGCTACGTTCAGCACCAAGGACAGGCACTGGTAACGAAACCGTAGAGTAGCATGATAGGGGAAATGCAAACCATAGACAATCATTATGGTGGATCAACAACTTTATACGGTTGGTAGGTAGACATGAGGATATCTTTCATCCTCAGATATTCATCCCTTTACTTCTATTTATTTGATTTTTGATTGATTTGATATTATTTGATGTATGCCTATTTCGGACCGCTTATTCTTCTGTCTAACTATCTTGGTTGTCTAAAAGGAACTAGTGTATCCCAATACAACAGTCTTTTGAATCCCCCCCCCCCCAGCCTATACGACCGACTGTTACTTCGGCAGCGGTCTGACGTACCGTGGGACTGTGAGCAGGACGCAGGGCGGGGTGACGTGTCAGCGGTGGGACAGCGTCACTCCTCACGACCAGGACTACCCGAACAGGTTACCAACTTAGGCCATGTTGATTTGATTATATGGATGACATCGTCTGGGAAACCCAAAACTGACGCGAGCGTGCGAATAAAAAAACATTTGGCATTGATTATATGAAATCTACGTGGTCATAAATGTTGAACAAATGACTAAACACACAGTATGGTATGGCGAATGATAATACACTCTTCATTTTCATTTCGTCACATTTTCTTATTTTTCTGAGTTAATATCGGCATTCTATGACATTAGTAAATTTCCAATACTATTTTTTTCAACATACGATCGCGATATATATTCGCTCATTTTGTACGACTTAAAGTATGGTCGAAAACTCTTTTTTTGTAAACGGACAAACATTCATACCCACATATCAAAAAGATCCATCCACAAATGGTTGACGTAAAGAATCCTGTCATAAAATTAAGTTGAAAGCTTCAAACTTCTGATCAATCCCATGATCAGAACTTCTTATATAGACAACAGTTTTGAACCGTTATCTTCCCGTTGACTAAGCATTTGCAATCTACGTATTTCGCTCTAGGTTCCCGTTTGCAGACCTACGTGAGAACTACTGTAGGAACCCAGACGGCCCACCCTACACACCGTGGTGCTACACCACAGATCCTAATCTTCTCTGGGACTACTGCCAGGTCCCAAAATGTTACGGTGAGCTGGCAACAACTCTTTAGTTACTAAATAATGAAAAGGCAGGATTCCAAGCAAGTAATAAATTACTTACTAGTAGCAACACGTAATCGCCTCTTTGCCTCTTTCTTATAAAGATTTCCAGAAAAAATGCTACGTTTACGTTTCAAATATATCCATACGCGTATCTATAACTTCAGCAGGTGTTTCTTAAGCTTGTAGCCGAATGTCACATACAAATTCAGCTTTCATCTGAAATAACTTGATTAATTATGTTGTCCAATAGCTGATCAGTGTTATGTGCCGGACGGAGCCGACTACAGAGGAACCGTGGCAGTGACATCATCAGGCAGACGGTGTCAATCATGGAACAGCCAGAGTCCTCATCAGCACAACAGGACTCCACAGAACTACCCACAAGCCGGGCTTACTAACAACTACTGTAGGTAAGTAACCCTCCACAGAACTACGCATACAGAACTATCCTTAATAACAACTACTGTACACCCCCATCAAATTCCATTCATGCCGTACCCGGAAATTCAACCGTACCCGCTCAAAAATTCTGGCCGTACCCGGATATTCGTGCCGTACCCGCGAAAATTTCAAGCCGTACACGGTAATCCGTGCCGTACCCTGTACTTTTTCGCCGTACCCAATGGCGGATATCGCTGAGCCCCGGTGCGTATTCACTCGGAAGTCGTGTCTAAATACCCTGTACGTCAACGATACACAACCTCATATAGCCTATGCTCTGGTAAATATTCCTGGCCACCTATCTGCCGAGACCGCTGATCGGCCGGCCGAGCGAAGTGTTCTCAAGATTGGGCGCGATTTGTACGACGCCATTCGGCAGATAGGTGGCCAGGAATATTTACCAGACCATAGGCTATATGAGGTTGTGTATCGTTGCCGTACAGGGTATTTAGACACGACTTACAGGGTATTTAGAGTGACTACGCACCGGGGCTGAGCGATACCCGCCATTGGGTACGGCGAAAAAGTACAGGGTACGGCACGAATTACCGTGTACGGCTTGAAATTTTCGCGGATACGGCACGAATTTCCGGGTACGGCACGAATTTTTGAGCGGCTACGGCTTGAATTTCCGGGTACGGCATGAAAGGAGTTTGATGGAGGTGCTGTAGTTCAGCAAAACGACACAACCTAACCAGCATACTCATTCAATTTCAACATGGTGTAATTTCCGCTTCTGTTTTTTTTTTCATAGAAACCCTGATGACGACACCAGTCCTTGGTGCTACACCATAGATCCAACTGTACGGGTGGAATACTGTCCGCTTGACCTCTGTTGTAAGTATGGCACATTCCATTTAGATCTACGATAAAAAAAGGCACGGTATGAACAAGAGTTCTTCAGTAGCATAGTGGCCCTTCTGTGAGATCATGGCGTCATAACCAATTTAACATGAGGACCTCTGATTGGCCTACGTCGTCTGGCTGTATGATAATTTAACCAGTTCACCCGTTGTAGGTAACATGTTGTTATTCCTCTCTCCCTTAAGCTGGCTGGACTGGAGACTTCATTTTGGGTGATGATTTCACAGGTAAGTATTCGGTGCCTAGTTCATATACACTAGCCATCAATATCGAAACACCAAACGCTAACGAGCCGGCGCCAACTACAGTATGCGTACAACCATTTAGACTGCTAATTGCTAGATATGATATTAATAAAAATAATAAAGCTAAATTTGTGACGATAAGTTTGTAAAACCTTATGTAATTATGTTTACCTTCGCAGAAGGAAACCATATTGTTTTTGCTCTAGCTGTTTCTTCTTCTCCAAACGAAAAGGTCAATGACCTGAACCAGACGTCTGTCACCATGGTAACTAGTGTTGGGTTACACCATGTTGTAATTTTATAACAGGAGGGATTTAGACTCCTGTCACCATATATATGAACGTGTTTGACTAAGAATTAACAGAACAGACCATGTCAAGGTAAACATTATACATTTCTCATGTTTGAAATGTTCTTTTTGTTTTCAAGTCCAAACGACACATTGTGTGATTGGCGCGGGTTCGTCGTACCGTGGCACGCACAGTCAGACGGACTCCGGCCTGACGTGTCAGCGGTGGGACAGTCAGACACCTCAGCAGCACAACTACCGGCCGAGCAGGTGAACCTTTCGCTCTTTCTCTTGTTCCCTTCATCTGTATCGGTATAGCCGGTATAACCGCCCTTCGGCGTGGCACACCAGCTTCGCAGGCACGCGGCGCGCCGGCAGCTAGCTATATCACACCGAACGACTTGTTACACTCAATCTTTGCACATTTGATTGCAGGAGTTGTTTAAAGCTTTCTAGTGATGATGCCCCAACTGTGCTTGGTGGCAACGAGTTCCAGTGTACGTCGACAGTTCTGGGGAAATGCGAGTTTTTGAATTCCTCAATTCTTGGTTGATAACTCTGATATTTGAAGGCATGACTGTTTCTTGTTTTTTTCTGGGCTGGTATCAGATACTTAGTGGTTGGTACATCCACCAGTTTATTAGTCATTTTGTACATCATGCACAGTCTGGACATTCTACGTCTGTCCTCCAGCGACCCCCACTGTAGGTTTCTTTTCATTTCCGTTACACTAGCACCCCTTTGATAATTATTCGTGCAGAATCTTGCATATTTAAGATGTGTGTCTTACGGACTATCTATTGAGTGTTGTACGGACTATCTTCGTGGAGTGAATGTCATCTGTTCTTCCCGTTGTCCTGACCAGTTATCCTGACGCCGGATTGGACGAGAACTACTGTAGGAACCCGGATGGAGAGCCTCGAACGTGGTGCTTCACAACGGACCCTAGCGTCAGATGGCAGTACTGCAGCATACCATCTTGCTGTAAGTTACTTCACAGTCTTGAAGTCAGAAAAAAAAACATCTTATTTAGTTTAATGGTTTGGTTCTTCGTCTACGTATACTTCTGGCTTTGGCCTAGGTCTAAGTTAGTCACTCTTTTAAATACGTAAAAACGAAAGGCGCGAAAACCTTTCTTATCTTATCGTTCAACACAGTCGATGCGTCGGAGTGCTATGACGGGAACGGAGAGTCCTACAGGGGAGCCCGGAACGTCACGGAGTCTGGCCGCGCCTGCCAGCGGTGGGACAGCCAGTCCCCGCACCCTCACAGCCGCACTCCGGAGAACTTCCCGTCCGCCGGACTGGACGAGAACTTCTGTAGGAACCCTGACGGGGAGGCGGAACCTTGGTGCTATACCCAGGACCCCAACACCAGATGGGAGAGATGTGCTCTCAACCCTTGCGGTACAAACGACATATAACGTAGATATACAGATGTTTCCCGAGAACAGTCACAGAGTTGAATACTCTACCACAACAGCTAAAGTCAGTCACCACACAGTCAGTTCAACACATCGGCCTCCCCAAACCCAGAGCTAATAATGAATCTTCCCAGTGTGGCCATGAAAATTTTATATACTTTTCATATTTTGATATGTATTTTATATATTATTTATGTTTACCGCGAAGGAAAACATCTTGTTTTTGCTCAGTTTCTTCCTACTCTTCTGTTCCAAACACTAACCTCTGACCTGGCCAATGACATGATATGTTGATGTATGTCACCATATGGTGACTGGTGTTGGGTTACATAATGTTGCAATTTCATGGTCTGTTCTACTCCTGTCATCATATACTGGTAGTACATGTATGTGAATGTGTTAAAGTAAAAATTAACAGGGCAGACCATGGCCGAAGGTACACATTATGCATTTGCTTTGCAAATGTTACTTCTCTAGTTAGATTATTGATTAGTTTAACAGGCCTCTTAAATCACTAGATTTTTTTTCTGTTTTGCCCTATTTGTTTTTTTCGCTCTATCGCATTAGATTTGAAGTCTGCGGAGGATGTCATCCATAAAATTGACATGCCGTGGCCTAATAACTTAAAACATTTCTAAGTATCGAAAAAGTAACGAAACGTAGAAATCCCCCTCCATCTGTTCGTAAGGAAGACTGCCAGGTACCAAGGAGGTTAAAAAATAACGTCCTTGCAGGTACTCAAGAAAGATTTTCCCACTTACATTTTGTCAAACATTTACAAGCCAAGCTACTGGAGAGGTGTGTCCTCAAAAGACTCTTACCTGCCATCACCCCGGTGATCACCAACCAGTACGCTTACCTGAAAGGTTCCTCCACTGTCCTCGCTGCCATCAGGATGGTGCACACGTGGCTGACAGCCCTCGACTCAAGAGAGCATACTTGTGTTCAGACCCTCTTTGCTGACATGAGTAAGGCTTTCGATAGGGTAAACCACGCGATACTACTGCAGCGGGTCAACGACGTTGTGGCAAGTCCACGGATGGTAGCTTGGCTGCAAAACTACCTACAAGGACGCACTCAGAGAGTGGCTGCTAACGGGGAGTTGAGTAGCTGGCGACATCTCACGTCAGGAGTACCGCAGGGTGGAGTGTTGTCGCCCTATCTGTTTCTTTTGTTTATGAGCTCACGCGACACGGTTTACGACGACACCCTAGACGTGGGCTATGCGGATGACGTGGGTTTGTCCAGATCAGTCTCCCTGAAGAAAGCTAGCACGGACAGTGCCATGACAGAGGAAGCGTCGCAGCTTGACAACTGGGCTGACCGTAACGACATGCTCCTGAACGGCAAGAAAAGCCAGATGCTGCTGATCTGCTTCAGCAGAAACGCTCCAGTACTGCCACCTTTGTCTCTCGGGGGCGAGCTTGTGCCTGTCACCACTGTTGCCAAGGGGCTCGGCTTCATCTTTGACAACAAACTATCCTGGCGCGAACATGTGAAGTCTATGGTGTCAAAGGCCTCGAGCAGGCTCCACTACCTCCGCCTGCTGACAAAACAGGGCATGAGTGTGCAAGATCTTGTCCAGGTGTACCTGAGTCTCATCCGCCCTGTCCTGGAGTATGGCCATGTTCTGTTGGTCGGTTGCAGTGAGGAGCAGGCAGCGAGCATGGAGAGGGTTCAGAGGCGCGCCCTCCGGATCATCTCACGTGGCGGCAGACGTTCTGTACCGACACTGCCGTCCCTGAAGGAGAGGAGAGAGGCCGCTGCTGTGTCTCTTTTCAAGGCCATGCTGAATCCTGAACATCCCCTGCACGACCTGGTTCCTGCCCAGAGACAGTCTGTCACAGGAAGATCGCTGAGGAACAGTCACAACATCACTGTTCCCCATGCAAGAACTAAACGGCTGCAACAGTCCTTCCTGCACTACACCATCAGACTCTATAACAACCTGCCTTGAACCCACACTAGTACTGGACTTTGCATAGCCTGATAAAGCAACTTTGTGGATATATGTTGTAAATAATTTTTTTATATGTGTCTTTTGTATATATGGTTGTTTATATGTATTATTTCTTCTATGTGAATGCTGTTTGATGCTTTAAATAATGTGACAAATTGTACCTAATTCAGGGGGATGCGCTTCTGCTCCCCCTGCTGTTGTACATTTGTTTAAATGATGAGCAAATAAATAAAGTTATATCTCGTCATTTTAACTCGACATGCATCTCAGCATGGGCCTGTTTTACTGGTAGGAGATTTGAAACAACTTTTCTTGTCCTTCCATAGTTGCACCGTCGCCAACTACAACAGTACCAGACTACTTTGGTAAGCTAACATTTTTCTTAAAATAACAAATATAAAACAACTTGCTAAGGCCACACCAATTTAATTTCTTGGTTAACGGATTCGCCCGCTTAATTTTTTTCTGATTTGCAAATAAAAATAAAACTTAAGAATCAACTGCAAAATGGTCATATTTTGCCCTGAACAATTGAAAACAGTCCTTTTCATCATATATAGTTGTTACAATTATTCCATATTTCAATGCAGTGGTATCATTAAAAGTTCAAAATTTTGAACCAGCCTGGTGTGTTCACTACGTACCATTTTAGGCCATATTAGGATGCCTAGGCCTGTTTTTTTTTTTTCGCCCGCCCGCTCCATCATTTTTGTAGAAAAATCCGTTAACCAAGAAATAAAGATGGTGTGGCCTAAAATGGTATATACATGAGAGAGGTTGATAACAATTATCAGACGCTTTTGGAGCTACCAAAAATAGAAACAAAGCCTATTTCTTTTTTGGACAGAAAAGCCGACTAGTTGTTACTTCGGTGATGGCGCCACCTACCGGGGCCAGGTTAGTACTACAGAGACTGGGATCACATGTCAGCGGTGGGACAGTCAGAGTCCGCATCAACACAGCATGGTCGCCAGGTAAGTGTTGCAGAAAGTGTTGCTGAATGAATGAATGAATCTTTATTAACGTGTCTTGAGACTTTTGTCGCCCAGCCCAAGTTCTCTATTCCATCTGTTAATGCTTGTCTAGATATCAACTGAAGGATAATAATAATAAGATGATTTTTTTTTTAAATTTTGTGCAGTCACCCTAACTCCGGGCTGGAGGAAAACTACTGCAGGAACCCGGATAGCGGAGACCGTCCCTGGTGCTACACAACGGACCCTAGCAACCGATGGCAGTACTGCAGCATTCCGGCTTGTTGTGCGTTAGACATTTGCCTTCTTCAGCACACATAGACAGTTCTTAAATCAACTGTCATTAGTAACTATACGACATTTGGCTCCTGTGGTTTAAGCAGAACAATATCCGTGAAAATCTCAAATGAGAACAAGAATTCGAAGATTTCATACCTCCATGAAATATATGAGTTTTTGTAAATGTTTTTTTGTCTAATTGACTATGGAAATAAGGTCATAATTAGCATAATCTAGTTTAATTTATGATTACCATGTACCAGGGTCATCCACCAGGAGGTCCATATTTGACCTTGACCTTTGTCTTCCTAAGACTTACCAACATACCAAATATCATAATCCATAAAATCATTATGAAGTTATGCTTACTGCAAATGTGCGGAAACACAAACACACAGACACACACACACACAGACACGCCAAAAACAATACCTCCACTTTTCATGGAGGTAACAACCCGTAGTTTACTATCATAAATCCCTGGAATTTCCTGATATGTGTATTTTAGACCCTGGAGACTGTTACACGGGAGACGGGGCGGGTTACCGCGGAACCATGTCTGTGACGTCCTCGGGCCGGCAGTGTCAGCCCTGGGGTAGTCAGTCTCCACACGCACACGACAGGACACCGCAGAACTACCCACAGGCCGGGCTGGAACAGAACTACTGCAGGTAAGAACGTTATCTACATGTACATAGGGACACTCAGACATGGGTTCAATAACAGCGTTGTGTGTATAGTAGCTATAGTATATGTGTATCTGTGTTCGTATGCGTTTGTATGTGGACATATATGTGTATACATGTATGTGTAGTAGTGTATGTGTATGTGTATGACTGAATAACAATAAATAGTTTATGCATATATGATTTATTGGTCAAACATTACCCGTGCAATCGAAGCCTTTTATAGCGCTGAATTATTTCAGGGTTTACAACCACTTTGAGTCCCGAGTTCGAGTCCTGACATGCCACCGATCTTGTGCCCTTGGGAAAGGCACTTTACACGGCTTTCCTCACTTAGCTCAGGTGTAAATGAGTATTGTCCTGTCATGTATTTGTCCCCTGTGTTGGTGGCGGCATTAATATAAGTTGAAAAAACTTGAGTGTGTCGTCACCACGTCTGGTGATTACATGTTGGAATTAAAAAAAATCACTTAATACATGTGACACATATACGTATTTGCTCCAAACACTTTTTGTGAATTTGACGCAAGGGTCTGTGCGGCTGCCATTCGGCGCCACCAGGTGACCTCAATACAACTTTCCCCAACCAAAGTTAGGTACCCATTCACACCTGGCTGGAGTGGGGAAAGTCGTATATGTGTATCATCATTTGATTAGTCGTATATGTGTATCATCATTTGATTAGTGTTATGTATGATTTACATAGTACCTATATCCCGTTGAAGAGATGCATTTGTCACGTATGTAGTTACTGCTACTAAAGAATTCTTTCAGCAGTGACAAGTTTTTGAAGGGTAAAAGTACAAAATTTTTAGGACTATCAGTCCGTGAACAAAATGTACTTATATCACACTATTAATTTCCACAGGAACCCAGACGATGACACCAGCCCATGGTGCTACACGGTTGACCCTACCGTCCGAGTGGAGTACTGTGCTCTCAGAGTTTGCGGTAAATTTCTCTCATGATCCTGTGATATTTCAATATATGATCCTGTGATACTTCATCAGATAAAGACATTTCCTCAGTTGTTACTCGCAGTTGTTACTCTCTATACCTTAGAGTAGTCTACAAATTTGTCCTTTTTTCACATGTCAAGTCAAGTCAAAGCTTATTATTGCACAGTGATTGTCACGGGTACAATCTATGGCAAATAATAACGATTACTAGTTGGTATGAGTCTATCATAATGCTACATTTATGGTCGACGGTTACTATCTCTGACAGAGTGTTATAAAGAACTACTGGCTAGAGAATATTTCGACTCTACATGTACGTTCTACATTACGCTAAACTATACTCATGAAGGGTACAGTGAGCAGTTATACCTCATTATACAAAACATGTTCTGTGACTACTAAACAGAGTGTATACTAAGTTACTTGCCAGGAATGTTACAATTCTGCATATAAATTCTACGATACGCAAGAATTAGAAGACCGTTCCCTACCTGCTAATACGTGAACAATATTGATTGTGTTACAGATGATACAGCAGGAGGTACTATTATAGGCCCAGACGGTGCCGGTAAGTCTTTAGTAACAGTTCACCAACTTTTCCAGTACTATATGCCCAACAGGGTCAGAACGTTTTGAAACCATAATTCGCTCTCGTATACGTGAGGTTAACCTTTGAATTCTGTTGTCTCGTTCAAGTTGATATCGTTTCTCTGACTGCTGTTTTTTTTACCTCCGGGGGAGGAGACATCCTTCCGCGGATGGGTTTTGTGAGAGATTTAGATTTTCATGTTCGCAGCTGTTTCTCGCGTTTGGGTGGACGGATTCTTTTGAGACTCGGTATATGTTTTGCTATTGGGCTGCAGATGATGCACGTTTTTTTGTTTTTATTGTATAGTGTTTTCGGGCGTGAAAAGGGTGCCTTTTGGTGGCCCCAAAACACCACTTTGAGCGTGAAAGTGGTCGCGACCGTTGACCTTTGGCGTGTTTAAGCTATTCTCGGTCTGGTCCACGTATATGACCCCTCACACAGAGGGTTGTCCGGTCTCGACAAATTCTTTGTTTACAACCCTATATAAATAAAAACAATAAAAAGCCCGGAGGTATAAAATCTCAGATTTTACTTGTTTTTAATTATTATTGAAGAAACAATACAAAGACAAGGACAAAGAGGGACTGCACTCAAGTTATACACTTATTTTAACAGCCCAATGCAAACAGATACATGTGGAGAAAAACTCCCTCCCCATACAATATCATGTAAAACAATATCTGTGTTTGAATAGCAAAGTTCTTTGATCACAACCATTTATTTTTCACGAGCCGACGTTTCGATGACCGTCTGTCATCTTCAACAGGGCAATTCTGACTGGTTTACTGTGCACTGACGCTAGATGAACCATGTAACACCTTTAGTGCACTATGGACCAAGTAACATCTATCGTCAGTGCACAGTAAACCAGTCAGAATTGCCCTGATGAAGATGACAGACGGTCATCGTTACGTCGGCTCGTGAAAAATAAATGGTTGTGGTCAACGAACTTTGCTATTCATTCGTTTACCGAAAAAACAATGAAACTTTATTCGCAAAATCATGCCCGAAGGCTAATTGCTTTTACAATCAAGTATAATACTCAATGCAATACAGTAACAGGAGACAGGTAACAACTGTCTGGAAAAATTTCTACTTCTACTACTACGCTTAGCTATTATGGGGTTCGACTTCTTCTTTGAAGGCAGTGGATAATGAATAGTCCCACATTCTGCATAATTAGTGGGTTTTGTGATCTTAGTACAAATGCAGTTTTTTTATGATCTTCTAAATGACGAAAGGATGGAGAAATTGTTGTAACTGTCTGAAATAATCTGTTTCTTTCGGTCTCATAGTGAGGACACCAACCTGATGAAATTAACGGAAATATCTGTGTTTGTTTGACACATTGAAACACACTTTATTTCAACCTGTCCCTTCTACGACTACGAAAGAAATGAGCTATTTAAAGAAGCCAACAAATTATATCCCAATTTCTTCATACTTACAGACAAAAAGAAAACTACTTTTCTCTTAACATCACAAAACCCACACATCACCGAAAAAGTGGGATTCTTCGTCTTCCACTGTCTCGAAAAAAGAAGCCGAACCCAATAAGTTAGAACTAGAGTTAAACATTAGATTCCAATATTTAGGCTAGAGTAGTTACATGCTGTATTGTTACACATTGTCTGTTCTTTGTATGTCCACTTACATGTACTTGCAATTAGCCCACGGGCAAGAACTTGCAATAAACTTATCATCATTATTAGTGTTTTCCACCACCTGTGCGTTTGGTGACGGTTCGGCGTACCGCGGTACGGTGAGTCAGACCCAGTCCGGCCTGACGTGTCAGCGGTGGGACAGTCAGACACCTCAGCAGCACAACTACCCCAGCACGTACCCTGACGCCGGGCTGGACCAGAACTACTGTAGGAACCCGGACGGGGAGCCCAGGACGTGGTGCTACACCACGGACCCTAGCGTCAGATGGCAGTACTGCAACGTACCATCATGCTGTAAGTAACTTCAAGGTATACATAAAACGGATGCGTGCAATCCTCGGTTTCCTGAATTTCCCCATGGCTACTTCTCGGCTAGATTCTGTCTCCTGTCATTTTGCCAGTCAATCTTCCCCCTAACTCCCACGTGCTGTCAATCAACTCCGTTTGTCCGAACAAACTGGTGCACAAACCCAAAACAGTAATCCGTACCCCGAAGTGACTAGATGAAACCACGGCCAGTACTTATAGGAGGGCCTGCATGCCCTTTTACGTAAGGCGGAATGAGGCCTTTTTAGTCTTCGTAATCCGTAGGCAGCCTCTCAAAAAAAATCGTAATTCGTAATAGTACATTAGCCACAAAGCGTTAAGTCGTGATCAGCTCTGAGACTTAAACGTAATCCGTAATTGGCGGAGAAAATGTTGTGTTGTGTCCTCTTATACTTCTGTCTGTTTCCCTGTATATTCTGTAGACCCAAACCAGTGCTACAGCGGAAACGGTGCGGACTACCGCGGGAGCGTGAACATCACCCGGTCTGGCCGGGCCTGCCAGCGGTGGGACAGCCAGTCCCCGCACCCTCACAGCCGCACTCCGGAGAACTTCCCGTCCGCCGGACTGGACGAGAACTTCTGTAGGAACCCTGACGGGGAGGCGGAACCTTGGTGCTATACCCAGGACCCCAACACCCGATGGGACGTCTGCGTTATTGACTCGTGTGGTCCGTATTTTAAGTCCTTTGTTTTGTAAACGGATAACTCTTCCTCATAGGGGAATTATGTAACTTTTTTTTACCAAACTATTTTGATAAATATTTGTGCCTTAATCTCTAAATTTTAACGTGGTTGGTCCAAGCGAGGCAGTACTACCACAAACTACCAGAACAAATTTAAATATTGTAACAAAAATTGTACAGCAAATATGGCTGACAGCTGTACATCGGAAAACGTTACAATTTTTTGGCGACGTCTCCGGGAGGAGCCTAATGGTACAGTATTGTGTGCAGTCTGCAAGAATTCTAGGAATGGTACAGGCATTTTGTCCACAGGCATGCGGAATGTCCACAGGCATTTCTCTGACCCACATCTATGCCCACATTCCTGGAACCCTTGAGAAGACCTGTCTGTCCCAGATGGCCGTACTTTCTGTGACCCCGGGGCTCGTTAGGGAAGGAATACACTGTATCTATCTAGACTTAACAGATACCAAGTCTTCCTCAAATTCATGAAATGATGGCAAACAATAACCCTAACAGCAACCACCGTCGCCATGGCAATGTATGTTTTCATTGCCAGTCTTGTTTGTTTCTGTCTGTTTGATAGATCCATCGGCGACACCTTTACCCTCAGCACAGTACCAAGGTAAGAATCTTTAGTCTTATGGCGTTTGAATTTGCATGAAATATGTATAGTAATGAAGACCTTTATTGAACATTTTGCCTGTATAGTACATGTACTACTCTAAAGCAGATGCGCATGAAATCTTTCCGTGCTGAATTCAGACCGGTACCTGACAGCCTGTGGTGTTGTGTGTTTACTGTTATCTCATCAGTGTTCCCCATCGACTGTTACTTCGGGAACGGGGAGACGTACCGCGGGCAGCAGGCTCGGACCAAGTCCGGTATCCCCTGTCAGAGATGGGACAGTCAGACACCGCACCAACACAACATACCCGACAGGTCAGGCAGCTCATTGCAGTCACCTTGTAGTAGATATGTCGACATGTAGACCCCGGTAAATAGACAATACAGCTTGGTAAAAAGTTAAAGCAGTCATCTTCAACTGAGGTGACGACTATTGTTTTTGTAGCTACAATGTAGGTACATATTTGTATATAGACCATTGAAAAATACACAGTATATGTAGGTAAAAAGGTAAATCAGCCATCCTCAACTGAATGTTGTTCAAGTTACTAGAGATACAAACATAGATACGAGCACAATTAGATACACATTTAGATAAGCTTGGATGTAATTGAATTGCGAATTCCTAATAAAAAAGTATGCGTTTTATCCCTAATTAAATTGTTGCTACATGTACTAGCAAACTACGATGTAGCCAATTTTAATCTAGGTCTACAATGTACCTATACCTTTTTTAGAGGTAAGAAAGTTCATCTGTGTTGGTAGTTACATGTTTAGAGTTAAAACTTTAGATCCAACACAAAAAGTTTCCTCACCTAGAGCTTTCGACTAGTCACTCTGGTCTTCCTCAGTAGACTGACCCAGTGAGGCTTGTCACTATGGAAGACCATAGGGGCTGGTCGAAAGCTCTAGGTGAGAGCGCTTTTTGTGTTGGATCTAAAGTTTTAACTCTAAACATGTAGCTACCAACACAGATAAACTTTCATGATACCTATACCTTGATGTGTTACAGATACCCCACTGCGGGACTAGATAGTAACTACTGCCGGAACCCTGACCAACATGACGGAGGGCCATGGTGTTACACCACTAACCCTAACACACGATGGGAGGAATGCGACGTTACAAAATGCTGTAAGCATGAATATGATAAAAGATGTGCAGTAACATATATACTTTGTCTGATATTACTGTAATTTCTTTGCACATTTTCTTATTAATTTCATACTTCGAAATTCATTTTATTCCAATAAATAAAAATATTAATTAGAACTAGCCCCAAAACAAGCTACGTGAGGCGTCTCTTTATGTTTTGGGTACCACCCATAAACAGAACGAGCCTACAATACAAAATAAGCGACTGTTTTCTGTCATTTTTGCCTCACAGGTATCGCTATGCTATAAGATAGGATTGATTCGGCTTACTGCATTAAAAGACTGACCAGAACGTTTTGAAACTCCAGTTTTGCCACTACACCCTGAAAATGCCACCCATTGGATGCCTTTCACTATGACACACCGGCAAGATCTACTTTTGCTTTCTCTTAACTTCGATAATGAGATGAGTTTGGATCTTTTTTTTTTTCCTGTGCCGCACAGACGACGACTGTTACCTTGGCAACGGTAGAGACTACCGCGGCAGGATAAACGTGACGTCATCAGGCCGGATATGTCAGCGGTGGGACACACAGACTCCGCATGCGCACTCCCGAACACCGGACAATTATCCAACTTCCGGACTAGTCGACAACTATTGCAGGTATAGCGATCATGAAAGTCCATCTGTAATATTATGAAAAACTTAAACTTTTCTCCAACTCAAAATTTGACTCACCAGAAATTTTCGACTGAATCACTCAGTCTTCCTCGAGCTCAGCTATCTGACCCAAATGCTGTGGACACATGATTTTTCCCACGTGTGACGTCAGCAAAGGGTCAAAGGTTGTCTGAAGTCGATATCGCCCCCCCGTCCCGGTCATAATGTAATTTACCAACTCAGATGAACTTTCATGCCAAAGTCCATCTGTGTTGGTGGTTAACGTTACAGGTTTAAAGTTAAAACATTAGATCCAACTCAACAAAGTTCTTTCACTCTCACTCAACAAAATTCTCTCACAGTCACTCTGGTCTTCCTCAGTAGACTGACCCAGTGAAGCTTGTCACGTGGCTTCTTTGAAGTGTGACAACACTGGGTCAAAGGTATCCGGTAGACGATATCAGCCCCCGTCGCGGTTGATTGAAGGCGTGTGACTGTAGATACGGAATGACTGAAAACACTTTTAAGTTAAATGTTTCAATAAAGTTAGATTCTTTACCACACACCAACAGCTAAACATCCTATTATCAGCGTCCTTTTTTTGAATGTTTGTAAAGAAGTGTGAACTTTGCTATTCAATCATTCACCAATCTGATGAAATTATTAACAGATCCTAGTCTCATACAGGAACCCTGACAATGACACGCGTCCTTGGTGCTACACTATAGACCCGACTGCTCGAGTGGAATACTGTCCCCTGGGAAGTTGCGGTAAGAGAGTTACCGTCTGCCTTTGAAAATAAGAGTACAAAATAGACATGTTTGACGTGAATTATGATTCTTATCTATTTTTTCAAATTACAGAAAGAGCTCTTATATAACAGCAATTTGTGTTAAATCATCACTTCTGCATATGGAACTATATTGATTGATCATGCAATTACAAGGGCACATAGTTCCGGACATGAAGTCATTACATGATGTTATGAATAGATGATAAGAGGAATCACAACTTTGTTTTCCTTGTGTTCATTTTTGCAGTGTGGACGGAAGATGTCATCGGTTCAGAGAGCAAAGGTAAGATAGCCACACCCGGTGTAACCTCTGACCCGGAAATGCTTCTCTTCTTTGAACGCGGAATGCCAAAATAATTATTTGACAAAAAAAAAAAAAATCAGATAGCCCGATGCTGATACTTCTGTTTTGATAATCTCTCATTTCCAGTTTACCCTAAACATTGCTACTTCGGTGACGGCGCCACCTACCGGGGTACGGTCAGCATGACAAGCGGCGGTCTGACCTGCCAGCGGTGGGACAGTCAGTCTCCCCACCCACACGACCAGACCATCAGGCATCCTGACGCCGGATTGGACGAGAACTACTGTAGGAACCCGGATGGAGAACCCAGGACTTGGTGCTATACCACAGACCCTAACGTCAGATGGCAGTACTGCACCGTACCACAATGTTGTAAGTAGTAAGATAAGTCGTGTGATACCTTCTTATTGTGGCAAGTTATAATGCATAAAAGTCCTGTCGATAACTAACTTTATGAAAATTTCATAACAGGAAAGGCTTAAGATTATACTTAATCAAAATGGCTTTTGATTAATTTTCAACACCTGAAAGTCTTTTTTCCAAACTAGTTAGTGACTGTTATAATGACGCTGGCGCATCCTACCGTGGAACGGTGAACATCACGTCCTCTGGCCGGGCCTGTCAGCGCTGGGACAGCCAGACGCCCCACCCTCACACACGGACTCCTACAGCCTACCCGTCCGCCGGACTGGACCAGAACTTCTGTAGGAACCCTGACGGGGAGGCGGAACCTTGGTGCTATACCCAGGACCCGTACGTCAGATGGGAGGCGTGTGTCATCAGTAACTGTGACGGTAGGGGACCTACAACTGTGTACGAGTTCATTGTCACATCGAACATTCATTGCAGATTGAAGTCGATTGGTACAAGCAGACTCCCCCGAATGACCAAATGTGTACTCTCTGTAACGATAACTGTGTAGAAAATGAAGCACACTTTGTCTTAGAATGCACACTATACACAGAGTTCCTTACAATTAGAACAGAAATATTATGCACTTACCGAAAAGAGAATTGTTAAAACATATTGTCCTCCAGGAACTGTGATGAAAATGAAAAAAATTATCTAAACGTAGTGGATTTGCCCATGTAGGGCGTTAATATGCAATAAAGTTCATTGTCATCATATAATGGATATGATATTCAAGAGTAGCGATTTCAGGCGTAGGCAACCTTTTTGTTAAGATTGTAAGACTCCACGTGCTTGTCTAATTCTGAGGTCACATTTCCAAACCGGGGCCCGGCCGGGCAGTCTTATAGAACAACGTTAACGAAACTTGTGAGATGAAAGACAACAAAGCACAAAAAGTTGAAAAATTAATAATGGGAACTATCTGCGTATATTCTTCATATAAATTTTTAAATGTTCGTTAATCGAAACAGCCCAGCCGGGCCCCGGTTTAGAAATGTGACCTCAGCATAATCAATGATTAAATGTCCGAAAGGCGTCCATCTTGGATAAGTAATAAACTTTTTTGTTTCTCTCTTTACAGGCACAGTTCCTCCTCCTTCTCACAGATATAAAGGTGAGCATATTTTCTATACTGGGACAATAGCACATGTCATTTTTCACCTTGAAATCGTTCTTTATTTTTAAAACCTTCAGAGTCAGTAATGTTTCGTCAAATACTTCCTCAAAATCCTTGCATCTACTAAAATCGTTCTGTAGTAACAGCATTGATCTAGGAAACTGAATGATTCGTTCTATGTCTGTCTGATAGTATTTCCCGAGAACTGTTATTTTGGTGACGGGGCTACATACCGAGGAAAGGTGTCGGTAAGCAAGGACGGCATCCCGTGTCAGCGGTGGGACAGTCAGACACCTCATCAACACGACATCCCTTCTAGGTAAACTACGGCTCAACAGATGCAGTTTTCTAATGTTCTTTACCATCATGTTGAAGTTTCCTCTAGATTGAAAGAAAGTCCTGTCTTTTGCGAATACTGTCTACAGCTTACCATTGCCTTGGCAAATTTGACCTTTTCAGGTTCCCCAACACGGAGTTGAACGAGAACTACTGCCGGAACCCAGACGGGTGGGACCGTCCTTGGTGCTACACAACCGACCCCAACATCAGGTGGCAGGTCTGCGACATCCCGGGCTGCTGTGGGTGGTTCTTTTTCACATCTTTTCGTTGCACCTCGTTCAAAGTGTGGCAAAATGATGTCAGTTTGTTGCTGTTACTGCTAGTCATTGTGGACTTTGGGAATTGTGTAGTCATTCCATTATGACACTGTTAAACACTTTGATGAAAGCAAAACGATCCTATGCAAAACAACTCCATAATTCTGCACACTTTGTCCAGTCCCCGGTGAATGCTATGACGATAACGGAGTATCGTACAGAGGTAAGGTGAACGTGACGTCATCAGGGCGAGCGTGTCAGCGGTGGGACTCCCAAATTCCGCACCAGCATTTCAACACCGACAGCTTCCCTCAGGCCGGGCTGCAGGACAACTACTGCAGGTACGGGAGGGGGTGTGGGAGGGGGTAGAAGAGATCAATATTCTCCTCTCAAAAACACTACTGGTATTAATGATTGTACAAACACAATACATGTGTACATTAAAAGCCCGCTGCCGTACAGTAGGAGAATGCGAGGTGAACCATTTTCAAACTTGACCTTTGTTTCCACAACTGCTACTTACCTCCTAAAATATCGTCCGTGCCACAGCTTCTCGAGTTATATGCTGTTGACATATAAGATGTGAGAGGGGGTAGAAGGTTTCCATGTATTCTGCTCGCAAACAACACTTCCAGTATCAATAACTCTCACTAATCATTACCTTCTATTTATCATAACAGGAATCCAAATGGGGACGTCAAGCCGTGGTGCTACACAATAGATCCACTGACCAGGATCGAATTCTGTGTGGTACCAAATTGCGGTGAGAACTGCTTTATTTTTAACTAAATGTCATTCTGTACAAAGTCCATAACGTGGAAAATACAATGAAGAATTGGAATGATACCGTATCGACCAGGTGTAAACTATGAGTCTCATATGAAACCAAGGAGGTTATGTGATGAAACGGTTCCATCAGATATGCAGAATATATATTCCTCTGAATTACTGGTATCCTATGTCGCTATTTTTGCATTTCATATCTACATATGGTTGATTATGTAACCTTCACATTCTACGTATGTCTGTAGCTAACTACACAGGCCCACAGCCACAAAAAGGAGGCAGGAACACCGGAGGTATCGTGGCTGGGGCGGTCGTCGCCATCTTGGTTCTTGTGGCAGCTGTTCTGGGCGTGGCCTACTACTTCCTGTTCTACCGGAAACGGATGGATGATGGGAAGGGTCTCGTGGTCAATGAGAGTCCAGTTGCTGCCGGTAGCGTTGGTTTCCAAGACATCTTAGCTCGAGATGATAAAACTGATACAGAAGGACCGAACGTCTTCAGTAATCCGAATTACGACATGACAGAACAAACTACTGCGTGATTGCAATATCTAAGGCCACAGCAAGTGAATTTTTACTTTTAATTTAAGGACGACATCCTCCGCAGACTCCAAATCTAATCTAGGGCGAAAGAAAAAAAATAAGGCGGGCCAAAAGAACAAGATTCCCACATATTCGAATTTTGAGATCATAAACCTTGTTAAACAGAAAATGATGTTTATGTTTTGATGAATAAAAAAAACAGAAAATGATAGCTATATTGTGCTAGGTTTACTGCCAACAATTACCACATCCATTGTCACTGAAAAATAAAAGTACAACTCATTGTACAAATTTTACAAATTGTTTTGATTCAGTGAAATCACATAACTGCAACAATTTGAAAGTAAAAGACAAAACAATCAATCAGAGCCTTGTCTCCTATCCTAATAATTATCTACCATCCACGTTCCGGCATGGCAATAGACATCTTTGCCCATTTTGGCATGTTGACTGTCAGAGGGCAACAAAATTTCTTGTTTCATTTTTTCAAATTTGGGAGAAAATCAATGCGCGCGCTGATGTCACCCATAAATATTACGTTCTGTGGCCTAAATTTGCTTTATATTTTCAGTGGACGACAAAGATCCACATCGTGTACCTAGATTATATCTGAACAGTATTAATAAATAGTGGTTCATTTTCATTTCCGCTGCTAAAATAAAGAGAATTATAGATAATATGATCAGCTATATTTTTTGTACCTCTGTTTATCTGATACCTATTGTGCTTTCGTGGATGATTAATATCGAAATGAGCAGCAAATATATCATCTATTGCTGGTAGTCATTTCAGCTTTGTTTCTACCCTGGAATCCAGAACTCGTTTTCCGGGCCACAAGAGCCCTTCGCCCGCTGGTGTAAATTACCGCTACGGGGGAGTCTAGCCCGGGGGGAGTTTGGCCGGACAAACCCCTCGGGCTCAACTCCCCCGTAGCGCTAATTTAGGCAGGCGGGCAAAGGGCTCTCGGCTGCCGAAGGAAAAAGGCTAACGGTCCGATACTAGTTTTGGCATCCAGGGTACTTTGTTTCGTTTGATCCGCTTGGGCATATGCTTCAGAGTTCAGATATAGAGGTAGAAGGTCTCCAATGAGAATTGTCAGTTTATCAATAAACTATGCAAAATGTGATGTATTGTGTCGTTAATTCTTGTTCTTCTAAGGCCACACCAATTTGATTTCTTGGTTCTCGGATTCGCCTCTTCATTATTTTCTGATTTGCAAAAAAAAAAAAACGATTCTGTTTCCGAAACGTTTCCGAATCAACTCAAATATGCTCATATTTTGCTCCCAACAGTTAAGGAAGGTACGTCCTTTTCTTCCGAGTTGTTACAGTTTTTCCATCTGTCAATGCAGTGGTTTGATTAAAAGTTCAAAATTTATTGTTTAAATTCTAACCCAGCCTTTTTTGTTGACTTTATGGCTCCTTTTGTAGCATTTGGAGCTATAATAGGGTGTCTAGACCTGTTTTTATTTTTTTTGCCCTGTCGCTTCATTTTTTTCTGAAAAAAATCCGAGAACCATCAAATTAAATTGGTGTAGCCTACGTTGTACGATTGTAATTGTCGCAATGGTAACTAGAGTTCCCCGACCCCATACTTTTGCCAAATAATGGTAATCTTTACAACTGACGTATATTCTAGAGGTTTTTCCTCTGATAATACAAGTAAGGTCCACTTTAATTGTATCAGAAATACCTGTTGGGTTTATCATAAAAGATATTCATACTCATTGATAAACATTGGTGGTACATTCGTTTATTCGTAAGGTATAAGATCAGGTATAAGATAGTTGTCCTTCTGTGTAAAGCTCCAGTAATCTAACACCAACTGCACATTCAACAGTCCAGTAGAAATATGGAATAATATATTCAAAATCTAAAGATTCTATTGGCGTTGATTTGACACAGATGTAAGTAGTCTTCCCATGCTAACAAGGATGCACATGAATATAGCGCATTAAAGGCATCCAATGAGATTTAAGCAGCAAAACTGGTATATTTCTGAATAAGGCAATCTTTGTGACATTGACACATACTGCTTCACTTTAGCACATCTGAGCCAGTATTTCATACTTTGAGCTTTTAAAACGGCAGAAACGAACCCCAAGATGAGTCCTTTATTTTCTGGGTGGTACCCTACAGATCAGCCCAAGGCTTCCAGTAAGCATTTTCCGTCAGAATTTTCGCTCAATGCGGGTCAATATACAATGGGACAGTGTTGTTTCAACTTAGTATGTAGATAAGTGACTAGAATATTGGCTTTGAAAGATCGGGTTTCCAAGTCCTAAAAACTGCACCGGATGCCTTTAAAGGGCGAAATGCATGGATTTCAGTTACTTGATATCGGTCAAGATGAGTAATACAAATACATGTTTTGCAGGATGATTTTAAGGGCATTTCACGACATTTTGGTACATTCGTGAAGACGTTTAAATTTTATTTGCTTCACTTGCAGATAATTAATAACAAACTGTCAACTACGTACTACAAGAAAATTCTGTAAGTACGTACTTAAGGTAACACGGGTGTATGTGCAAAATCCCCAAGGTGTAGGGTAATATGAATACTTTTTGGATAAAACTGTGGTTAATAAATCAGCTTTATTGCAAAGGGGAATGTCCCAACATCATTTGTGTTTTCTTTAGATTCTGAACAATTAGTTAATAGGTGATCCATTTGAACGTCAGAGACAAGGCATCAAATGGACACTGCGATCATGCATCACTTTGTCCACTGATTGTCAGATCATTACTGAACGTTCCTTCTACATCAGCCTTATCATTTCGAGCTTGGATGTCTCTGAATCCGACAGGTTCCGTTGCAACAGGTCCCTCATTACCCACAAGACCTTTCTCATCATCCATCCGTTTCCGCCAGAACAGGAAGTAGTAGGCCACGCCCAGAACAGCCGCCACAAGAACCAAGATGGCGACGACCGCCCCAGCCACGATACCTCCGGTGTTGGAAGTCTCGCCTGTTTTTTGAGCCAGGTGTGCTCCTGTGTCGTTTCCTGCTTTTTGATCCTCTCCGCTTGTATCGTTACCTACATATATGACAAATACAACCTGTGAAATCTCTATTAACTAATCAGTTTCATTAGGACGGCAAGAATTTGTGTTACAGAATTCCGAAAGATTTGAAAGTGGTTAAGACATTCCAAGGCACTCACCACAAATTGGTACCGCACAGAACTCCATCCTGGTCAGCGGGTCCACTGTGTAGCACCACGGCTGTATGTCACCATTTGGGTTCCTGTCATGTTTAATGAATGTATGTTTAATACAAGGTAACAATTACCTTCGACAAGAAGGTTATGTTTTCGGTTACCGTCATGGTGGAGTGGCTGTGGACTGGGTGTATCTGTATGTATGTGTACAGCATAACTCGAGAAGATGCGTATGAATCGTAATGATATTTAGTAGGTGAGAAGGAAACAAAGGTCAAGTTTGAAAATGGTTCACCTGGCATTCTCCTACTGTGCGGCAGCGGGCTTTTAATGTACACATGTATTGTGTTTGTACAATTATTAATACCAGTAGTGCTTTTCTGAGAGAAGAATATTGATCCCTTCTACCCCCTCCCACACCCTATATGTCAACAGCATATAACTCGAGAAGCTGTGGCATCGATGAATCTTAATGATATTTTAGGAGGTGAGAAGCAGTGGTGGAAACAAAGGTCAAGTTTGAAAATGGTTTACCTGGCATTCTCCTACTGTACGGCAGCGGGCTTTTTATGTACACATGTATTGTGGTTGTACGATTATTAATACCAGTGTTGTTGTTGTTGTTGTTTTTTTGAGAGGAGAATATTGATCTCTTCTACCCCCTCCCCCACCCCCCTCCCGTACCTGCAGTAGTTGTCCTGCAGCCCGGCCTGAGGGAAGCTGTCGGTGTTGAAATGCTGGTGCGGAGTTTGGGAGTCCCACCGCTGACACGCTCGTCCTGATGACGTCACGTTCACCTTACCTCTGTACGATACTCCGTTATCGTCATAGCAGTCACCGAGGACTAGAAACAGTGTGCGGAGTTATGGAGCTGTTTTGCATAGGCTCAATATTAATTAGCAATAAAACACTCGTTTTGCTTTCAGCAAAGTGTTCAACAGTGTCATAATGAAGTGACAACACAATTCCCAAAATGCACAATGACTAGCACTAACAGCAACAAACTGACATCATTTCGCCACATTTTGAATGAGGTGCAACGAAAAGATGTGAAAAAGAACCACCCACAGCAGCCCGGGATGTCGCAGACCTGCCACCTGATGTTGGGGTCGGTTGTGTAGCACCAAGGACGGTCCCACCCGTCTGGGTTCCGGCAGTAGTTCTCGTTCAACTCCGTGTTGGGAAACCTGAAAAGGTCAAATTTGCAAAGGCAATGGTAAGATGTAGACAGTATTCGCGAACGACAGGACTTTCTCTCAATCTAGAGGAAACTTCAACATGATGGTAAAGAACATTGAAAAACTGCATCTGTTGAGCCGTAGTTTACCTAGAAGGGATGTCGTGTTGATGAGGTGTCTGACTGTCCCACCGCTGACACGGGATGCCGTCCTTGCTTACCGACACCTTGCCTCGGTATGTAGCCCCGTCACCGAAATAACAGTTCTCGGGAAATACTATCATACATACATAGAACAAATCAGTTAGTTTCCTAGGAGATTAATGTTGTTACTACGAAAGTTTTTAGTACATGCAAGGACTTTGTGGTTGTCAAAATGAAGTAGCTTTAACCATGTCGTAACTCACCTCTGATTCTCTCCGAAGATGCAGGTGTTGTTGCTGAAAAAAATGGAAACTAGCTGTTATCAATCATGTTTACGTGAAAAACGCCTCTAAGTTTCATGATTATTTTAAAATATGCAAACGAAAGACATGTGTTCAACATGTTTCATACGAAATACTAAAAATGCAAACTTTGGTCTGTAGAATAGAGAGGATTGCTAGTAGCTTGAGACGATTTTGTAAAGACAAGAGTCTTACTGATTCTCTTTCCGTCACAGTTACTGATGACACACGCCTCCCATCTGACGTACGGGTCCTGGGTATAGCACCAAGGTTCCGCCTCCCCGTCAGGGTTCCTACAGAAGTTCTGGTCCAGTCCGGCGGACGGGTAGGTTGTAGGAGTCCGTGTGTGAGGGTGGGGCGTCTGGCTGTCCCAGCGCTGACAGGCCCGGCCAGAGGACGTGATGTTCACCGTTCCACGGTAGGATGCGCCGTCGTCAATGTAACAGTCACTAACTATTAAAAAAAGGTAACTTTTGATAACAATTCTGATTTTCATTTCAGACATTTGAAATCATTATTCTTTATACTTACAACATTGCGGGACGGTACAGTACTGCCAGCGAGTATCAGGATCGGCAGTGTAACACCAAGTCCTGGGTTCTCCATCCGGGTTCCTACAGTAGTTCTCGTCAAGTCCCGCGAGAGGATGCCTGACGGTCTGGTCGTGTGGGTGGGGAGACTGACTGTCCCACCGCTGGCAGGTCAGACCGCCGCTTGTCATGCTAACCGTTCCCCGATAGGTGGCGCCGTCACCGAACATGCAGTGCCTGGTGTACACTGAACAGGGAATGGGAGAGAAAAATAACTGTTTTACAGTAATAAAAAATACGTGCATTATCACAGGCGTTCCTGCAGACGACGTATAAAAAAATACATACCGGTCAAACAAAGGGAACTGTGTGTTCTAGCTGCGAAAGCAAAAGACCGATTGACCACAATACTCCTACAGGAGGGATACCTCCTTCACGGAGTAAATGTGATGATATATATAGAACTAAATGTCGACCATTTCAATGTGAGGTAACATCCGAGTTGTAGCAATTTTACTTTTAGCCTACAATATGGGAGAATCGCCCTCTGCCAATAACATGTGGTCCCAATGGTTTGTCTCTAGGATACAAACTTTATAACATACCTTTGTTTCTTGGAGCAATGAGATCATCTGTCCATGCTGAAATTTGAGTAAGAAGTTAAAAAGTTATCATGAAAGTTCATCTGTGTTGGTAGTTACATGTTTAAAGTTAAAAAGTTCTTAGTTCATTGTATATTCTTGAAATCAATGTAATGATAGTTTTATCATTCAATAATGACATTTACTGTAATTTTGATCGTTCCGACTGACACTAGAAAACGTCTCCGACACTGAGCCGAGCTACAATGTAGTTCGTTATCTTAAAGCTTATATTAGAAAATTCATCCGGAAGCTATAAACTTTAAGCCAAAATATAATGTATAAACGCGAATCACTATTTCATGTTTTGAGATTCTAACGCTAGACCTAAACATGAAATTTGAAAAGAAGTAATCACAGTTTCCTTGACGCGCAGCCTTGTCCCATCCCCGTCCCCTCTAGGTAAAAGAGGCCGTAGCGGGATTGATTCGGTTTGATCCGTCTCCGATCCGGCTCCGATTTCGCTCGATCCGGATCGAAGTCGGATCAAACCGAATCAATTCGGCTCGATCTGGACAATTTCATCCTAGTGGGAATAGGGCCTATGTTTTACCCAGACGGTAGGTACCCATACGTGTAAGAATCCTGAATACCTGTACAGGTGTAACCATCATCCTTCAAGACGTAACCGATACGGCAGTCGCACGTGACGTTTGGACCATCACTGGTGCAGATCTGGTCACAGCCGCCATTAGCAACGTGGCATCCACCTGCATGAAAGTTCATCTGAGTTGGTAAATTACATTAATAGAAAAAAAAACT